TCAAAATTGTCGTCAAAATGTGTTTTTCTGTGTTTAAGTGTGTAGCATAATGAGAATCCAGACTATTGTTTCTAAACGCCCTTTTATATTCGTTAATGCGTTTCTTGAAGGATCTACCTGTTTGTCCAATATAAAATTTAAGACAAGATCCGCATTTCAACCTGTAGACACCTGATTTTTGAGATTTTGAACATTTCGTTTTATTGTTTTTCAAAAATATTTGAAAAAATAGTTTGTAAATATTACATTTGATAAAGACACGGTGTTGTCGAAACAATTGTGATGTCAAAATATATAATTTCGGGAAAATCTGAACTTTTAGTTCTTATTTATTTTGATAAATGGATTTTCATCAAGTAAAAGCCACCTCAGTTCAGTTTAATTATACGTACTAGTAGCTCACCAAAGTGAATGTCTGTTTGGTTTAAATAACTTATCATTATTTGTAATCCTTAACAAATTTAATCTGGAAAAACAACAGTTTGGTCTGACAGTGTACATGTTTCTTTATAACAGACTTAATTAATTAATAATTTAGATCAAAAAGATTTTTATTAGTTGCGAACAGGTAGGGAGAGCTAATGAGGTTATATTCTAATACACAAAATTAAGGAGGGAAGTTGAATCAATTCATTTTCTTTAGACTTCTTAATATTCGTCCACATAATCCAAATAAGTTTTTACGTACTTTCTCTTAAATATATGTTCTACAAATGATTAAATGATTTCTGTTAAAACTCATTTTATTTGCTTTTAATATATGAATTTAAATCATAGAAATGATAGCTTGATGTAATAATTAATTGCCGCGTATAAAAGTTGAAAATTAAATCATACAAATTATTCCAAATATTCAAATACATACATTTTTTTGATACAAGCAATAATTGGTCTATTGAAGCAAATATTGTCCGAAGAAAATAAAATAGTTCCAAATAAATATTTATTAGGGTATGTTTTCCGATTTTTTTCAGTGTTGTTCCACCATGTTGAGCCACCAAATAATGAGTCATATTGGAGTTATATTCCAGGCTCTTGAGGGGTTTGCACGTTTAAACGATTAAGTATAAAGCCATCGTCCACATTTAATTGTAGGACATCATGCAGCATAACCTCTAGATTCTAAGTCTAAAGACCCTCGCGTAATTCTCCGAATGAAAAGTCTCTTTTTTTGTCTCTCCAAATCTCGCGCTGACTCCTCCCATTGTATTTAAATTTATTGGCAACGATCCAGGTGTTTATTTTACTCGGAACAGGTCCGCAGGTATTTTATTTCGTTGGATAATTACGCAACCGTGACACCTGCGACTTATCTCGTCCTGATTATTCGTTTTAAAAGATGATGCGCGCGCCATACAGATTCGCGATTTCAAAGTACAGTAATAAAAATTGTTTTCTTTTCGACGAAGGCTTCAGTAAACGCTGATAAGCCATGTGAACATTTCTCGGATACACTGAATAATTAATGTAGATCCAATAGCTGGTATTTATTTCCTGGTAATAATGGCAAAGAGTGAGGTCGCGTTGCTGTTAGAGTCTATTTCAAAAAGGCTTAGAGTAATAAAACCTCATTCGGTATGTAAAGTGATCGGGGCAAGTTGTAAAGTATGACACACCGTGACCGTGACTGTAATAATGCCATTAAATTTTTATTTGTGCAGGGTAGTAGTAAGGAAATTGAAACGCAAAATATATGAATACATTCTGTTTTATTGCGTACTGTATAATTGTAACTATATAAATAATAAATACATCAGAATAGTTTGAGTGTGCTATCACTACCATTCAATGTGTCTCAAATCTTTTATAATTATTTTCCGCTTCAATTGCAGGGTTATTTTTTATATTTGCGTACCTACCTAACGGAAGTCGCCGAGAAAAACTTTCATTACAACAGTTGTGTAATTTGTGCAGTATTTTCTTTTAGACTTGTAAACAAATGGCACATCGCAAAGTTGAGAAACAGTGTCGCGTCACCAAAACTACCGGTTTCAGCAACACGTCGATTCGTTGAAATAAAAGGCAGTATTTTTACACACAACCCTTTAATTCAGTAAACTCACGAAATTAGTAAAAAAACAAGTAACGTAAAAAAGTATGTACAGTAACAAAGATAGATAATTAGTGATGAGTTATAAATTCAACAAGCAAAGCCTCGAATTCGTAAAAAAGAACCCGTCGAGAAAAAATGGCTTGCGATGCCTGCCGAATCCTTAACGATCTAAAGTCCTAAAATTCAGTTTTCTAAAAAGTAAAACACATCTATTTAACTCAATACCTACTTCAAAAGCCACTTAAACCATGCCCTAAGAGGAACCCTTGTCTTCAGTCATAAATTAATAGACAAGTGTTCGCTAGGCCGACCGTTACCATCACTAAAATCATAGAATCATCATCATCATCATTGAATAGGATTGAGAAAAAACACGTGCATCTTAAACTGAAATTCCCCTTATTCTAAAAAATACCACAAAATTGTTCCCTATAAATATTTACTGGCTCTAACAAACAGTAAATGGAAGATATTTTTCTTGTTGCTCTTTGTTCCGGCAATTTAACCAAAAATTTAAACCAAAAGTGTCAGCCGAAAGAAGAGAACCGTTGTTAAAAATGAATATGACGACATTAATATTTTGAGAGCAACTATAAATTTATATCATGTAACTGTTCATAAAGTACCGTGAATTCAATTTCAATTGTTGCCGCACAATTGGAAATGTCATATTACAATATTTCAGTCCACTTTAAAATGTTATAAATATCATCTGTTCCAAGTCAGAAACAAAAAATATTTTTACTCATAAAGCCACCTTTAAGACGACAGGTATGTTTAATAGGATAAATAATTAATATTGGCTAAATGAAATGAAAATCCACACAAAATTGAACCAGTAAAAATACAGGGTCGTAGGTCGGTTCTTGTTTGGTTAGTTTTGGTTATAATAATAATAAACAAATAATCGGACTGATTTTTCTTGATGGATTTCTGACGGTCAATCGATATTTAGATTTCATTCAAAATAACATTGAAAATTATTCCAGTTCGCCAATACATCCATCTGGTTTGGAAACAATACCTAAATGACAATTCAGTGGTCGGCCAATAGGCCCGATTTAAACCCTAGTGATGTTTTCCTATGAGGCTTTTTAAAAAACCGAGTATACAATGACAGACCGCAAAATACGAGTGTTGAACCAATGAATTGAACAAGAAATATTCATGCTCAATAGGGATCATCCAGACTTTATTTTGAGTCATAATATTCGAAAATGTTTGGGAAATCCACCATGATTTGATTGATAGAAAACACACTTCACGTTATATTTTCATTTGTGTTGGTTTAATTCAGTTTTATTATCGTTTGTTGTTGTTGATATTGTTGTTCTTTGAAATTTTTATCATTTGTTAATTAATGCTTATCGAAATAAAAAGACCAAGTGCTTGAAGCTTTTCGCACTCTGAGTAACCCATTTTCCTAACTAAAGGTTTCAATTTGCTTAACGCCTGGTCAACTTGAATAAAATCTGTTTAGTAAATCAAAAATTAAAAACATCAACAATCTATATATTTTTCAAACGAGGAGAAAAGATCTTTCGTCATATCAGGAAATATGTAGGGTTTTCTATTTAAAAAAAACTTGTTACCGTTTCTCAACTTTGTGATGCGCATTTGTTTTCTTTTACAATTCTAAAAGATAATACTGCAAAAATCATGCAAATTTGGTATTAAAAGTTTTTCTCGGTACCTTCCGTAGGTGGGTACGCAAACATTAAAAATAACCCTGTACATGATTTACACATTCCCTCTGAAATCCCAGTGATAAGTTGATAATCTAAGGGGTATACTACCCGGTGCTACCATACAAGACTTATCATATGACTTGCTTCTTAAAACATCGACTAGTTATTTTTTCGTAGAAGAATCTGCAAAATAAGAGAAGAGAAGTGTTTTTTTTTGTATAAGTATCATCAAAATAAGGGTTATGCTGTGTTGCGAAAAATGTTCAAACCAATTGAATGATGTACGAAGGCACAACAAGAATTCTTTAAACTGAAGCTCAACTGGAACTCGTGGAATAGCTGCCTCGGGGCCCGGTTATCTAACAGCATCCAACTGTTTCCAACACAAACACGGCTCGATAAAGGTCTTTTGACAAGCAAAACAGCCACTTAACGCAAATGCAAAATTTTTAATGTCACACGGACGAAATTCTACCTGCGAGTGCCTGAAAAAAGTACTCACTGTGTCCTTATCCCAATGCATGCGCTTAAGGCGCGTTTTTAACGAAGACTTAAATATATCGTTAATAAATTTAATTCTAGTTTACTGATTTTTATTAATTATTTGTTTATTTATTAAAAATAATTAGGAAACAACCATAAAACTGACTATCATAAATTTAGTTCTAATAAATATATCAAAACATGAGTTAGAAATTCGCATTTTAAATAGTTATTTTGCTTATTAAAAAAAATGCGGCCAGGTTAACGAATTTAATTACTTTATTAGAACTCCGTGTATATTTGTTCATTAATTATGGACATATGAGCCCTGTAAATCTATTATCAATTTAATAGAAAAAGAGATTGACATTTAAATGTCAGTTTCTATAAAGCTAAACTCATAGGCAATAAATCGCAACGGGCACATTCCGAGTTGCGACGGAATACTGTAAGTATTTATGGGAAAAATTAATAATCCATTTTAACCAAATAAAGCTGTATCGTCGACTAACATATATTCACATGGATTATTTATAACGTCGTCGTCATACGAGCTTTTTTTGTCATTATTTTAACGTCGTAAATAACTTTTCTAACGCTTAGAAAAACTTTGGCCTGGTATTATCTGAATTGTTAATATTTATCAAAGGACTTAACGGATTTGCGGAGAATTTTTTTTTGTGTATTATGTCATTACGGTCTATTTAACGCTAATCATGGCAAATCTCAACTTTGTTGTTGTAATTTGCAAATTTAACTGTATGGTTTTTTTATAGATCAAACTAGAACGCGTACTAGGGGTGACTGTATCAAGTAATGCAGCTTTGGCTACCGACAACAACGGCATCATCGCCTATCCCGCTGGGTAAGTAATAATAGTAATGATAATAATAAAAATAAAAATAATAATGACACTAATATTATGCATAATAAATGTTCTTTTTTGACCAAAGAAATAAATGAATAAATAATTGAAAAATGGAAGAAAAAATAATTGAAGAAAAATTAGACAAACAAAGGAAGTTGAAGTTTAGCCTCTTGTGATGATTCTTACTTTTAACCCTAAGAAACTTTTTTTTACTTGTTTTTATTTTTGGTTATTTAGGTTCAATATACATAATTAGACTGTTTTTTTTTAAACTAATTTCCAGCTGAATTAAGAAAAAAACAAACAACTCCTAAACAATAGTTTGAGTATTGGTTTCGGAGACACACATGTTTATTACAAGTATATTAGAAACTTTGTGTTGTATCTCGTGAACTAAAGACTTTAAGACAAAAAGTTATAAAGCGTTTTTAGAGTCGCACTTTTTAAGAATCACCCTCTAGCTCAGAAACGCTTTGATATATCATGATGCGGTTCCTTAGTCTTCGACTTCTCTCGAATCGAGCACGTAACATGCATATTAGCGAATTTGGACCACCCTGTACATTCGTACAAGCAAAATGTGTCTAGGTGTATAGAAAATAATGGCTACTTAAAGTGTCGAACTTATTTAAGAATCTGCAACACCTTGTTGCTTGTCAAGTTTTTAATAAATATCTCTATCTTTACCAATAAAAAAGTTATGAAGCGTTTTTAGAATCGCACATTTTAAGCTCACACGCGCTTTGATATATCATGATGCGGTTCTTTAGTGTTCGACTTCTCTCGAATCGAGCACGTAATATGCATATTAGCGAATTTGGAGCACCCTGTACATTCGTACATGCGAAATGTATCTAGGTGTCTAAATACATGTTTTCAATGTTTTTATTATAGGAAATAATGGCTACTTAAAATAGTGTCTAACACGAACTTATTTAAGAACCTGCAACAACTTGTTGCTTGTTTGAGTTTGATATTATTACGACGTTTTTCAACTCTTAATAATTTTCTTGCTGTTTATCTAGATTGCGAATTCCTAGTTGTCAGATATTTGAACTCTCCCCTTCTGTGTAAATCTTTCAATTGGTTGAACCAACAAACAAAAATGACATTATTTTTCAACTCGAGTTTAAACTATTCACATTAATAGTATGCATAGATAATGGATACAATTTAAATTTGGATTGTGAAATTCTGTGAAAAGCATTTTGAAAGAAATGTTCTATGATTGATGTATTCGAAGGTTCGTTTTAGGGTATGTATTCGCTTTAAAAGTAGTTTTTTACGATGCATATGATTAAAACTAACTTATTTATTAGCAGTATAGTAAATTTATTTGACGTAGTTGTTGTTCTAAATACTGTTGAAAATTATTATTTTTTCATTCAAAGTTCGTTTCCAGATAGATAATTATATATTTTCCAATAATTTGTCGTGGAAAATGGTTGGAACACTATGTGGAATGGTATTTACCGATGAAACCTTTTGTGACGTTCAGAATTTTGTCAAATTTTGGAACATCTACGGCGAAGCACAGGTAACAGGTGTTTGTCTTTTTTACTCCAAAGCGCGCATTTTTGGTACTAATTTAGCCATTTAAATTGAATTAAAGTTTACCAAAAATGTCTGTCCGCTAATAAAAATCGTTCAAATTAAAAATAAAATGAAAACTGTAAATCAGAATGAGCCATTTGTGGTTTCTCAAGATGTCCTACCTTAATAACCGTGAAAATCTTGCGCTCCTTCTTTCTTCGTCGCATTAGACCAAACCCGCGTGGGAGCTTGAGAAAAAAAGAAACAATGGAATATAGAATTCTAATGATTATAAGTGATCTAATTTGGTCGGTCCATTGATTTCTGTGTTCGTTGACACGACGAGTGCCATATCGGTAGATTCGCGTGGTTATTCGCGGAATTTATAATAAATTGAAATCAGCCCTAATGTCCATTCTCTGGAATAATATTTATGATATAAGCAATGCCGGAGGCAAAGGGCAAACATATGTAATGTGGATGATATATAGTTATTTTGTAAAATATGTTCCCTGCGTCCCCTGATAAGGATTTAAATTCATATTATACTAATAGACAAAATAATACAATTCCACTTACTTTTTCTTTTACTGCAGTAACTGAAACTGATATATTGCGGATAATTAAGACCATTAAGACTAAAACAGTAGGTCGCGATGGTATTCATATTTCTGCAACTAACTATTGCTTAAAATATTCAATACAACAAGCCTGACTAATATTCGCCCTACCAACTTTTTCAAAATCTTGGAAAGGGTTGCATATGAGCAGGTGCAGCTTCTCTTAGATAACAACCATTATTATCCCCGTTACTGAAATAGGATATAAGGAGGTGCATAGTTCCACTATAACTCTACTACATATAACCGATGTTATATTTGGGGCTACAGATGCAGGTGAGCTGCCACTGTCATCCTTGCAAATTACTCGAAAGCTCACCAAATTTTATTGTTTTTTTCAGAAATCGCAATTAATCTTTTAGCTTCATACCTGCAGCGTCGATCTCAAGCAGTAACATATAATGATGTAACTTCTTTATTCATCAATGTTAATAAAGAAAGGGTTTCCTTTTAGGACCGCCTTTCTTCATTGTATATGGTTCTCGTTTCACAAAATTTCTGTTGTCCTGTTCTCATCATTATTATGCAGAGGACACGCAAATTTACCTTTCTTTTTTTCCGTTGCAGCCCTAAACTATGACTTATATCTTGAAATTTATCTCACTTAAGTTACGGGGATGTAGTCTAAACTATTTTAATAAACGCAGGATCCAAAACCTTCAAAATTCGTGCCTGAGGTTGATTTTTGTATTCGAAAGTTCAATCGAATTGGTCACACATTTCAAAGAGTTAATTGGCTAAAAATGAAAGGTAGAATATTTTATATTAACTCTGCAGTCCTGTATGCAAAAATACTGGTTGAAAATCTCCTCTATCCTTCTCTAGACTTAATAATGTTAATCTTCGATTGTAGGGAAACCTTAATATTATTGATACGGGGTTTTTAAATTACTAAAGATATCAAAAGTTACGAGGGTGGGTTAATAAGTCACGGGACTGGCAATGAAAAAATTTTTTTTGTTTATTTTGGAAAAAAGACTATACTCTCGTTATATATAATATTAATGAATTATTACATATATATTAATATATTGTGTTTGTACCTAGCAGTTCACGTTAGTTGTTTGGTCCTAGAGTAGGATCGATTGTCTGACGTTTCGCCAGAATTTCATCTGGCAGCTTCAGAGGCTGCGCATCCATCTCACTCCGCACTTAAACTTACTCAACTAAACAAAGCTAACCAGTCTCTAGTATCAAACAAGGAATGGATGATTACCTCAGTACATCAATATATCATATATACCTATATATTATATTATATGTAGTTGAGCCCCTCAAAATATACGGCAGTAATGACTTCTTCGCTCGCAAATCCTTGTCCACCTAGCCGATTTTTGAGGTTAGAGAGCAGAGCGTAGTCGCTGGGTACTAAGTCGGGCCAATGAGGTAGAAGGAGAAGCAATTCGAGCTTTAATATGTGAATGTTATCAATTTTTTTTCTCGAAATCTTTTATTTGTTCTTTGTTTCCTTCGAGGGCCCAACTTTTAACCATTGAATATGACCAAGAAGAGCCTTTCGGTTTTTTATCCATCTCTTTTATTTGAGAAACCTTTATACTATTTACGTGGAAGGATTTCTTAACTGCGCATTTTTCGAAATATCTCATTTTTGTAAAAATGTCGATAGATGGCGATAAAAAATCTTATTTTTGTAGCTAACCGCTATATCTTTTTCTGAGTTTAAAACCTACACAAAATTCGAATTTTCTTGGTCGTTTCTACTCAAATGTTCAAAAAAATATTTAAAAATATGTTAATATGAGTGTTTAGAAATATAAAAATATTTAAAAAAGGAATGATGTTTTATTCTATAGCCTTGGTATGTATAGACCATAATCGGTTGTGGGCAATAATATTTATCTGCTTTATTTTTGTTCAAAATAACTTAAAATATTCTCGATTTAGTTTGTTTTTTCGTATCGGCGTTTTCTAGAATCTACATTTTTCAAGACATTCCTCTCAAGGGGTGCTTAATTTGTTAATATTTTTTGTATTTGTACTTTCGCCAATAGTATAATAAGAAAAAATGTGTTGAAAGAATAATTTCAGTTTTTTAAGGTAAAATAAATATTTAAAATATTTAAAGTTTACCTGGTCAATGAAAAACTGTCATTTCCAGTAACCGGAATAGGGAATGGCAAATTGCATGAAGTTTTATTTACTCTCTGTCGGTCTAGCGTATCTCCGTCTCTATTCGATTTGGCCGTAAAGGTAGGAAGCCCTTGAATTTTTCACTAGCCGGAATGAAACTTCCGACCCATTATCAGCTCTGCAAACTTTTATTTTCGTGAAAATTTAATCGCAATTTCGCCCGTGACAGTCTATAAATTGGCCGACTTCGAAATTTTTTAATTTTTCGTTCGGTGCCGTAAAGTTTAATTAAAAAATATTTTTTACCCATTTCGAGTCCAAAGGCATCGTAATAAATAACTGCGAATGTTTAAAAAAAATTCAATTTGTCTATTTTCAATGAAAGTTTATTTCTTTTAAAATATTGGAATAACACTATCTGGTTATCATGGAAAGATTAATCATACTGCAATGGATTGGTTCCAAATAGTTAACGGTACAACTATATTCGTTCCAGTTCTAAATCTAAAATCAGAAGTAAACAAAATAAAAATCTAGTCATGCTTTATGTGGAGTCGAGTTTTCAACTCTCCTAGTATATCTCTTGGAGCTGAGTATATTTTTGTGAGACGATCTAATATGTTAAATTTCATATTATAATTCAATTCATCTTCCGAAAACATCTTCGGCTATGTTGTATGCCATTTCGCTAGATTTTCATTGTATTTTTAATGGTTTGTTATCTTGAAACAAAGTAAAACAAAGGGATTAGGT